CAGGGTTCAAAATCCCATTGATACGAGCCGAGAACCTATCTCAAGGACCCAATACGGACAAGGTAAAAGAAGGAAAGAACTTATCCTACTTCTTTAGAAGACCGGGGCCAAGGTCGTATAAAGGGAGAACGACGGAGCGAAATGACGGAGAGTCCTCCGCCATGGAGACAGAGACGCAAGAAATCAGCTCGTCTGATAGCGACTATATCGAATATGGAAGGAACTGGAGAAGAAGAACGGCAAGAAGGGAAGACTCGGATCGGTCCCCCCCTGAAAAACTAAACATTGGTAGCGCGGGACCCCAAAGGATTGGTGGTAACAGGAAAAGAGAGAGAACAGCCTCGGAAATCGATTCAGACTACAGGAAGGGTAGAACCACCGGGGAATATGTTGGTAGAAGAGAGGCGATTCAAAAGTACAATGAGGCTAAAGAAGAAGCCTTACGACTGGATAGGGAGAAGCTCATAAGAGAATATAGCAGCTCGGAGCTTTTCAAGAAGGCTAAAGTAAACCTTGAAAAGATCAAGGAAGATCTGATGGATAACACCATCGACGAACTCACAAAAAAGGTCAATGACAACTTAACTGAAGTTCTCAGAATTGCAAAAACATCGAACAATTTGAAAGGAACGTTTAAAAAGAGTTTAAGAATTGCGGCTGCATCGTCGATGGGGATATGTGAAATCTTAAAAGAAAGGGCGACCCTATCGAAAGAAGAGGCCAAAATGGAGGAAGTGAGGTCGCTAAAACGTGAAATAACCAAGTTAAAAACCAAACACGAGGAAGAAGTGGAGAAAGAAAGGCGGAAGACCCTACAAGCGGCCGGAGAGGCTGAGGCCTACAAATCAGAACTGCGAGCACTCAAAAAAGAAAAGAGTGGAAAAAGGAAGGAGAAAACGCCGAGCCCGAAAAGCAAGGAGAAGGAAAGTAACAACAAGGGTAAAATGTCCACGGATACCCCAAAGAAGGGCTCAAGGAGAATCCCATCAGACAACATCAAAGCTAGGGAAAAACTAATTACATCGGAGTCGGAACAAATGGAGATAGACGAAAAATCCCCAAAAGACAGGAAGGTAACACTAGAAAGACCAGAAAAATGGCCGGAGGTGATCCGCCCCACACTTTGCGGTAAAAGAAAGATCATCAAAGAGGAGTCGGAAACACAAAGGGCAATCTATAACGCTCATAAGAAATATATCTCCGAAACGCACAATGAAAGAAGATCCCAACAAGTGACAACCAAGGAAGGAAAAGAGGAAGGCCAAAACAGTAAGAAGAACAAGACAGATCTTGATTTCGATACGACAGAACTAGCTGACATGATTAGAAGAATCGTGTCAGAGGAATTAGCTAGGTACAACAAAAAACCGCGCATTACGAACGTCCAAATTTCCAAGACGCCCATCGCGGTGGAAAAAAACAAAGGAAGACCCACGGACAAGAACACACACACAAAGGAGGACAGGAAGGCGATCAAACCCAATGAAACAAGGGTGAAGGATAACGAGAAGGAAAGGAAAAGGAAAGCGACACTGGAGGAAGAAACGGACTTCGAAGGAAAGAATAGTGATACACCTTGGACCAAGGTGGTGGGGAGAAAAGAGAAAAAGGTATTAGGCGTTGGAAAACCAACGGACGCACGAAATAAAACCGTAATATCCACGCTGGCAAAACCTTTAAAATCAAAGAACATGGAGGTAAACAGCCAAAACAGGAAAGTACCCAAAACAGCGGCGGTACAAATCAGCTGTCGAGGAGAGATAACATATGCGGACGTGATGCATATAGCAAAAAATAAAGTGGACATAGACAGTCTCGAAATTACCGAGATTCGCCCAAGAAAAGCGAGAACTGGGGTACTATTATTGGAGATCCCGGGAACCGAAGGAGCCAATAAGGCAGATAAGCTGGCGCTAAAACTGAAAGAGGCCTTAGGTAACGAGCAAAACGTCCTAATCTCCCGCCCGGAGAAAACTGCGGATATTAGGATAAGGGACTTGGAGGACTCGACAACAAAAGAGGACATACTATCAACAATATCGATAAAAGGGGAATGCCCAAAAGAAGTTATTAAACTAGGCGATATCACGGTGGCAAATAACGGACAGTGTGGTTAAAGTGCCCATTAATAGCAGCGAAAAAACTAATAAATAGTAAAAGGATCCGCATAGGATGGACTATGGCGCGAATAGAACTGCTACCGGAAAGAGTGGTGCAATTTTACCGCTGCCTAGAAATAGGACACGTAAGGAACCAGTGCCGCAGTGAGAATGACAGGACAATGGCCTGTATAGATGCGGCCAGATGGGACACACGACCAAGGGATGCAATGAAAAGGTGCACTGCATCATCTGCGCTGAGAGAAACCTTAAATTAAACCACAGGATGGGAGGGCAGGTGTGCAAACCCTACAAAACAGATAGTAAGGGAAGAATCAAGCCGATCACAATAAAGACCAAACAGGAAAACAAAAGAAATGATAATGCAATGGCTAATGAATCCGACATTGACCCGGTCAGAATCAAGACCCCTGCGAAGTTGACCAATGATACAGGAGAGGTTGACGCAAGTGTGACAAAATCTATGGCTGCATGTAGTGTTAAGGACAATGACACCAAAGCAACTGAGATGACACAAGAACGCATGGATATAGACACCACACAGGAATAGAAAACGCCGGAGATATTTGTTGTGCTGCTGTACGGGTTCGGAATCCACTTAGGACTCGGGGGAGTTTGCACAGTGAACACTATCTTGTAGTTGTTTAGTAAAATATATCACTTTTATTTCTATACGATACAAGTTATATTGATTTACACTCTCACTTCACGTTTCGTACTCGCGTCGCGCTATAGGTACGGCAATGCTTCGCGACGCGTTATGCTTAAATTGCTTGACCGAATTTCTGACCGGCGACTGCAGATAGGGTCGCGCTGGTATTTGATATTTTGGGGGTCAGCCTTGGGCCGTCCGCGCTGATTCGTCAACGTTCCGCTTATCGGACGAGGCCGCGTAAACATCTGAGTTAGCGTTTTCTTTTGTTCCGAGTTTACCGTCAACGTTCCGCTTATCGGACGAGGCCGCGTAAACATCTAAGTTAGCGTTTTCTTTTGTTCCGAGTTTATTTCCCTTCAGGGTCGTCTTTTAAATTAATTTTATTATTTATCTTATTTTAAATAACATGGTTTCGTTCGTGTAAGCTAAACACGTATCGTGGCGCAATGGTCACTTGTGCAAGCATCGCACTCGTGACATATTACTCCCTCAAGAAGAGCTGGAATGGCCCAAAGAAGGGCAGAACTGGCCCAACGAGGGAAAGACAAAGGAATCAAGAAAGGAAGAAGGGGAAGGAGGAATCTCCAAAGGAAATAATAATGGTTAACCGGGTACTTCAAGCGAACATAAACCATTCCAGAGACGGACACGATGTCTTACTTCAGACGATGGCAGAAGGGGACTTTGCGATCGCGATCGTATCAGAGCCTTACACGATACCAGTGGACCACCTCCATTTGTATGCAAACGAAAGGGAATCCGTGGCGATAACATGGAGACAAGCCAGGGACGCAATGCCATGCACACCTCATAACCGAGGGGAACACTTTGCGGCAATTAAATGGGGAGACATGTTGGTGGCAGGAGTATACCTGCCACCAAGTCCAGACATGTCGCAAACCGAAGAGGCGCTGGAAGAACTCGAGGGATGGATAATCCAAAACATGGATAAACCAATTATGATTGCTGGAGATTTCAACGCGAAATCTAACATGTGGAAATCCAAGAATACAAACCCCAGGGGGATTCTGGTAGCGGAATGGGCCAGTGCTCTGGGTACATGTTGCCTCAACCAAGGCAGAAAGAACACATGCATCAGAACAAATGGAGAATCCATAGTAGACATCACTTTCACGAACCCACTGGCAGCAAGAAGGGTGATCAAATTGCTGGTGTCTGACAGAGAGTCCAAGTCCGATCACTGCTACCTGGAAATAACACTTAGCCTTACAGGAATACAGGAGCAAAAAAGAAGGCTTCCAAATGCCAAAAGATGGGCAACAAGAAAGATGGACGAGGACATACTACAAGCTGCAATAATGGCAAATAGTTGGCCAAAGAGGAATCGAGATATCGAGAACATAGAGGAACAGGCTAAGCAACTACAAAAGACAATGACGGAGGCATGCGACGCTGCGATGCCGAGAGCAAAACCGAGACCACGCAGGGCAATGCCCTGGTGGAGTGAAGAACTCAATCAACTGCGAGCAGATCTCTCCAACGCAAGAAGGAGCCTTAGGAGAGCAAGGAGAAGATCGCGACACCCGGAAGAGGCAGAATCACAAGCCAAACTAGAGGATTTTAGACAGGCTAGAGATAAATTCGGCAAAGGCATGGGAGGACTTTGTGCAGTCACTAGACGAAGACCCATGGGGACGCCCATATAAAATGGTCCTTGGAAAACTGAGGAGATGGACGCCGTCCTTCACGGAATCCCTAGAAGGCACCACCCTGGAGAGAATTTTAAATGGTCTATTCCCTCCGCCTGTTTGGACAAGAAAAGAGTGGAGTGAGTTCACAGCCTCGTGAGCTCACAACTTACCAGGAAAAAAAACAAGAAATATTTCTACGATCGGTAAGTATTATAAGAAAAGTAAACATAATAAAAAAAAAATAAAAAAGCACTATGTAAAAAATATATTTCTCTATTTACAAATGTCTTCACTATTTTGGATTCGAGTGAAAAATTGCATATGCACAAAGTGGACGGCCAAAAACTGAACGACTGCGCCATCCGCTTGCCGAACGAGAACGATAGATGGCTCCAATTCAGCAACCACCGCAACCAGGAACGAGTGCCGTTCATAATATACGCCGACCTGGAGTGCGTCCTGCGGAAAATGGAGCCCGACAAAGAAGACGCATCGTCGTACGAGTATCAGCGGCATGAAGCATTTAGTATAGGATACTACGTCCACTGCTTGTACGACAATTCATTATCATCGTATCAGTTCCGTCGCGATAACGATTACATCATCGTGGTTCGCGCGACAGCTCAACGATTTGGCGCATCGCTTAAAAGATATTGTATCCGCTAACGTGCCCATGGAAGCGTTATCCAAGCATCAATAGGAGGCGTACCGCAGCGCGGCGCGTTGTCATATTTGCGATAAGCCGTTCGCGTCGGACGATACGCGGGTCTGCGACCATTGCCACTTAACCGGGAGATACCGCGGTCCGGCACATGCAAACTGTAATCTAAATTATAAAAATTCATATACTATTCCGGTTGTATTTCACAACTTGTCGGGGTACGACGCGCACTTTATAATTAAAGAAATCGCTACCGCGTACGACATGTAGAACTCCTTCCGATAACGAAAGAAAAATATATTTCGTTCACGAAACATGTAGATAGCACAAAAGGCCAAAATACAAATAATTTTCAGAAAAATTGTGTAAAATTACGATTTATCGATTCCTTCAAATTTCTCGCATTAAGTTTAGAAAAATTAGCGTCGTATCTCGACAAGGATAAATTAAAAATTGTACGTTCCGAATTTTTAACGTTGTCGGACGAAGAGTTTGATTTGCTTACTCGTAAAGGTATCTTTCCGTACGAATACATTGACTGCGTTGAAAAATTGCACGACACGCGCTTACCACCGCGCGAATCATTTTGCAGTTCATTGACGGGCGATACAGTATCCGAGAGCGATTACGCTCACGCCGTGAACGTATGGCAGCGATTCTCCATCCGAACGCTCGGCGAGTACAGCGATCTGTACTTAAAAACCGACGTCTTGTTATTAGCCGACATATTTGAAAATTTCCGAAATAGTTGCGTCGCGAGTTACGGCCTCGATCCCGCGCATTACTATACGCTGCCAGGTTTCATGTGGGACGCTATGCTGAAACATACGCGCGTAAGATTCAAGTTGCTCACCGACATCGATATGGTCATGTTCATCGAGCGTGGCATACGCGGTGACCTCAGTCAATGTTCCGGCAGATACGCGCAGGCTAATAACAAGTACATGCGTTCGTACGACTCATCGAAACCGTCGTCGTACCTTATGTACTACGATGTGAATAATCTGTACGGATGGGTGATGTGTCAACCATTGCCGTACGCCGAATTTCGATGGGTCGAAGACGTCGAAAACTTTGACGTGAGCGCGATCGCTCCGGATTCGTCTACAGGTTATATTCTCGAGGTCGATCTCGAGTATCCACAGCATCTGCACGATCGGCACACTGACCTACCGATCTGTTCGATGCGCGATAAGCCGCTCGGCAAGTGCGAGGATAAACTTCTAGCGACGCTGTACGATAAGCAGCGTTACGTCATCCACTACCGCAACTTGCAGCAATGTACTCGTCACGGTCTTCGCGTAACAAAGATCCACCGGGTATTACAATTCGCTCAATTCGCCTGGTTCCGCGATTACATTGAACTTAATACGCAGTTTAGAACGCGCGCTAAAAACAATTTCGAAAAAAATTTGTATAAATTAATGAACAACGCGGTATTCGGCAAAACTATGGAGAGTCGATATACTAGGCCGGTTCTAACCCAGGTCCTCTGAGGGGAGTGCGGGACGCGGGGGGTACTTGAGGGCGCGGGTGGAAGGCGCGAGGGGGAGGCGCGGGGAAGGTCCCGGCGTTATCGGTGTTACGTAAACACCGATACAATGATACGTGCCGCCATCATTGGGGCCGCCGCCGCCGCCACCGCCGCGGACTCCGCGCCCCGCGCCCCGAAATGCGTCGCGGGCCGTAGCCGTGACCCCGCGCCCACCACCCCGAAATGCGTCGCAGGCCGTAGCCGCCCACCCCGCACCAACCGCGAAATGCGTCGCAGGCCGTAGCCGCCCACCCCGCACTAACCGCGAAATGCGTCGCGGTACTATAACGCCGACAAAAAGACGGCGCGTTAAGAGAAGCGCCGGTAGCGATTTTTTTCTAAGAAATGATAGGTGACACATCGTCGATGCTGCCCAATGGAGGGTAGACAAAGGGACAAAGAAGTTTCAAAATAATGGGGTCATCAGTGTGCGATACCTCAGTTGGTGCCCTGTATGATTACCGAATCAATCGTTAAATGCAATGCAAAAGTATGGTTGACAATCGTGCGAACGTTGAGGATGTGGACGTGGATGATGTAGTGTTTGAAAATATCGGAAACATTGAGGACATAGCCGAGTTTATTAGAAACGTGGATGAGGAACAATTCGCGAATATCAGAGACGAAGTGTTTGAAGTTATTGAAGAAATGGAAGTAGATTTTGCGGAGATACTGAATGAAGATTCATCCGATGAAGAATCCGTATTATCCGACGACGCCGGTTTTGCCAGTGACGCGAGCGAATACGAAACGGATATTGAAGAAAAATTTATACCAGCTGCGGAAATCCGTGCACTGAACGGTCATACCAAATACTGTATGATTCAGTCCTACTACACAACGGGCGGTCCTTTAACCGTATGTGCAGCATGCATTGTTCTTTTGGCTGACATCGACACTGTGGAAATGCATTATATAAAGAAACATAGTATCAATTATATTGATGCATTAAATAGTCGATCTTGCACGAATTGCCGAGTGGCATTGTACACTATATTTCCGTGCAACAAGTGTCCACAGTGCACAAATTAAAAACCTTTGTGAACAGTAATGTGAACAATATTATTGTGAACAAAAAATGAATGTGAAAAGTGTGGTTGATCATCATGCGAACGTTGAGGACATGGATGGTGTGAATACAGACAAGTTATTCGAAGCACTGGAAGTAGAATTTGAGGACATAGTGGATCAAAAGTCGTCCAACGATACTGAATGTCTTATTCGTTTGAGTGGTGGCAATACGGATCACACAGAGAAATTTGTGCAGCCTTCGGAAATCCGTGCATTGAACAGCCGTACTAAGCATTGCATAATCTGCTGTTATTATACAGAGTGCAATGGTGCTCCTATCTTTTGTGCAACATGCATGACTGATTTGCGAGATTATAGCGATAAAGGAATGTGTCAGGAATCACTAAGAATGTTCTTTCTATGCACTAGATTTCAGATGGTCGTGCTCGGAATGCGGAGAAAAAATGTACATTGTATACCCATGTAGCATGTGTCCACTCTGCGCACATTAAAAACCTTTGTGAACAGTAATGTGAACAATATTGTGAACAAAAAATGAATGTGAAAAGTATGGTTGATCATCGTGCAAACGTTGAGGACATGGATGGTGTGAATACAGACAAGTTATTCGAAGCACTGGAAGTAGAATTTGAGGACAAATTGGGCCAAAAGTTGTCCAACGATACTGAATATCTTATTCGTTTGGACGATGGCAATATGGATCACACAGAGAAATTTGTGCAACCTTCGGAAATGGAAGCGTTAGACATTCGTACTAATCACTGCATAATCTGCTGTTATTATACAACGGGAACGGGTGGTGGTGCTTCAATCATATGTACACATTGCATGGCTTATCCGCCGAATTATGGCAAGATTTCTTTGCGGAATATTGGTGATGAAGGAATGTACCTCGTCAGGACGCACCAAGAATGGTCTTACTGTACACAGGGCGCCGAGTGTTCGATATGCGAAGAGCCGATGTACACTGTATTTCCGCAGCATGTGTCCACTCTGTACACATTGAAAAAACTATTGAGTGCTCCGTGTAAGAGTGTAAGTGCTCCGTGGAAATGTGCAACGTGATCTAAAGACTGTGAAAAAGACATGGAAAATCACGAGCGAGTGGAACGCGAACTGCTGGAGCAGTGCGACCAGATCGCTACTCTAGTTGAGTGTTTCGCGTGGCTGCAACGATGCGACGAGTGCATCGAGCGGCTCGAAGAACTTTGCCGTGACAAGCGTCCGCGCCTCACCGTTAGACATAGACAATCCGTGGTGGCGAGGATCGCGCGACTCGCAGGTGCAAAGACACAATTGGAGCGTCGTTTCGTGCACGTTGGTGGCGGGTACGCGAGTGGCGAGTACGCGAGCGGCAACGAGCAATCTTTCGTATGGCGAAAGATCGACGCTGCGTTCGAGAGTATAGTGACAGGCGCGGTGATAAACTATAATCATATAGCGTTCAACGGCGACTTCGTCACAAAAGACAAACGTGCTAATAAAAGTATAAACACGAAGAACAGTGAGTACGAAGTTGTACGAACGGCACGTCGTCGAGCCTATCTTGACATCGCTCGAAGAGTTCCACGAACGCGACAGTGGGTGGGCGCTGTCGCGAATCCTCAATTTGACTGTTAACATGAACAAACTAAATCCCATGCGCGCGGGATGTCACTTCGAGGTGCCACGGGAAATTGTGATGAAACGAGCGGTGATCAATGTGAAATCCATGGACAATGCGTGCTTCGCGTGGTCGGTGGTCACCGCTCTGTACCCTGCAGAAAGACATGCAGATCGGGAATACTC